TTTCCTTTTTTATTGCGTATTTAAATCAGTTTTTAATAAAAATTAAATTAATAAAATAGCCTCAAATTTACTTTATTGCAACCTGATTGAAAAACAAAAGAAAGTGGTGAGTCAATAATATTATCAAAATAAAAAAAAATATTATTTTTTTAGGTTTTATTTTAATATTTTATTTTAATAATATTTTACTTAATAAAATTAATAATAGTAATAATGTATTTTCAATTTTAAACAATTTTAAAATCATTTTGTTATTAATTTTTAAATATTTTTATGGTTATACTAAGTGAACAATTGAATTTAAAGATGAAAGTATTGCTCAATTCCAAAGCAAGCAATTAATTCGTAATTTTCTTGAAAACAAAAAATTTTTTAAAGGAATTTTTTTTTCTATTCATTTCGTCGATTCCATAGAAAGAAACTAATTTTCCAGTTTTTCTTTAAACTGTATATTTTTTTTATAATTAATGCTTAAAGAAAATGTGCGCTGTTGATATAACCTCAAGGCACCACAGTTTTTTTCAATTTTATCGTTAATATGTAGGTTTATTTCAACAAATTGTTGTTTATTTATTAAAACATACTAATATATCGAAACGGTTTTCTCAGTTTTTTTTTAAATGACCTGCAAAATTTTTAAAAATGTTTTTTTTACTTCCTGTAAAAACAGTGAATTGGCGCTTGACCCCTTTTGTCATTCTACCCTTCAAATAAGTATTTATTTGATAATAGTCAAGTAATCAAGTATTTGAATCAAATAAAATTTTTAATTAATTTGAAAAAAAAAGAAATTCAAAATTAATCGTTTATAGGGATTTTATTTTTCGGTAAATAAAATAAGGACATAAAAAGTTATTTGTATAGTTATATATTTCTCAATAGAAAATCAGAAGCCGAAATGTTTGTGAAAAAGCTGATTTCGTAGTTTATCCTCTGATATACGGGCCAAGAAGTTAATGGAGCCTTTCAGTAGTGCATTTTTCTACCCTCGAATGTCAATTTTTTTTTTCGGCGCGCCCCGAAAGAATTCTTATCCCTAAATTTTGTCAAAACCAGGGCGGTAACCATATACATATATATCTATATACATATATATATATGGTATAGTATATAAGAGAATTGAGATTAAAACCATCTTCCCCCAAATCGCATCAAATCGAAAATCCATGATTCGGGAAAAGTCCCTCTAGAGATTAGTACACGACTTTGCTGAGGAACGCGCGACTGTTAACGGTATATATAGGCTCAGCTTTATTGCACTTCACCCTATATATATATATATATATTCGTATTATACCAGTAGAAAATTGCCAAGAGCCTCAACCGAGTGATCCGTCGCTAATCGACAGGGTGACTTTCTGCGGTGGCATTTTCTACAATTTGAGGGATGAAATTAATTTCATTTGTCTCGGGCCCCCTCTTAAAAGAGAGAGAGAGAGAGAGAGAGAGAGAGAGAGAGAGAGAGAGAGAGAGAGAGAGAGAGAGAGAGAGAGAGAGAGAGAGAGATGCGCGAGACCAAGGCAACCACGATTTTGAGGGTTTCACTATAATCCAACTCATTCGCCTTGGAAGATGCGAGAACTTCATCAAAGGATTATTGCGAGTCGCATGACTTGACTAAAAAAAAAAAAAAATAAATTCATCCACACCTGTTGTGAAAATCATTAAATATGTGCCTAAAATTCTAAATGACTTTATCTACACCTTAAAAAAAGTAATCTTCATTCTAGAGGATTCCTCTAAATGTAATGCATATTTTCCTCTTAATTTTCGTATCAAAAGTAATAATCTTAATTTAGAAGGATTTTCCTCTCGAAAAAATCCTCTTAAAGGAAGAATAATATTCTAATATTTTGACAAGTTGAAAATAATCGTAATACACAGGTTTTGAATAAATTATTAGACAATAATGATCAAAATGATCAAAACCTCAACAAAAAAAAAATTCCTAGTGTTATTAATGTCAAGAGAACCAATAATTTTTCTTAAATTTGAATAATATAATAAATATTTAATAAGATTTAATTATTTACATTCAAAAAAGGTAAATTATAATAGATTCCTGGAATAAAGAATGAAATATTGGTTTTTAATTAAATATTTCTGAAAAAAATTTCTTGCTTTTTGCTGAGCTGAAATACATTAGATTTAATTACAATAATAATCAAAAAATGCTATAGCCAGTTGCTAATATCAAAGAAGTTCGACGCAAATATTTAAGAAAATTAGTAAGAAATGAAGATTCATCGAGAGGTTATATTTTCTGTATTTATACCTCCATTCAATATATCCAACCAGATTTAAATCATTTATAGTAAATCTTCGAGTCTCTTTTCCATTTTGATCTTTCGATTTATAACACAACATTATTATGACAAAATTGACAGTTTCGAAAAACAAAAGCGCAAATGCCAAACAGGAAAAAAATGTAACTTTTCCTTTTTTCAAATATACTAAATTTAAACAGGAAAATCGTAATTGAAGAGGAAAATGCAAAAATGCTTTTGTCATTGTTCCATTACAACAAAGAATAAAAATATTCTACAGTGAAATGAAATATTCGTATTTTAAGAGGAAAATATTCAGCGGATTTTAGAAGAGGAATTTTCCTCTAAATTTAAGATTACTTTTTTTTGGGTGTAGCTGAAAATTTTCTGAAGTAAATAATTTTTTTTTTATGCACTTTTAGGAGATATTTTGAATCGTAAAAGTTACAAAATTAATGCTATACACATAAAAATCTGGTTTATAAAAAAATTGTCCCACTTGAAAAATATTTTTAGCCTACTATTTTTTTTTGCACTGAGAAAAATGGAAAAACGAATAAAGTAACATTTACTATACTTTAAAAGTAAAATCTCCTGTCCAGAGTTTCTGCACATTTCTGGTAATTTTTACTACAAAAATAAATTTACTTCTGAAATAGTAAAAATTATTCCAAAAATAGTGAATTTTACTATTTTCGTATAGTAAAAATTACCAGAAATGTGCAGAAACACTTGGACAGCAGATTTTACTTTTAAAGTAAAGTAAATGTTACTTTATTCATTACTTTAATGTCAAAAAGATGAATTTAGTTTATTAAATATTTAATGTACTTTGTAGAATTAAAAAATCTACATACCAAATAAATGATTTCGTTTATTTTAACTAGAACTTAAGGCACATATTTAAATTAATTTTTACACAATTTTTTTTCCTTTGAGGCAAAAGTTTATCACATTTTCCCATCATTCTGAAAATTTGTCTTTTTAAAATCTACATAGAGAAATTTTTATTTACTAAGGCAAATTTATTCTTCATAGATATTTCTGTTGAGTTCGGAAAAATCTCTTTTTAAAATCACTACAATTTGTGAAATTTTTTTCTCTTTCAAATTGAAAATCAGTTTTGAAAACCTGTGATGGTCATTTTATGACGTTGATTTATGGATTATGTATAGGACTATAAAATCGTTCAGTTTCAAAGTCAAATATATATTTTTCATATCTGTGATGTATCATCATCATCATCATTGCCGTCATCCATTAAGTCATACACGTTTTGTCAAAAAAAAAAAAAAAATCTATCTGAAACGATTTGTCGTCAACTTTTATGCAGCTTTCGTCAACACATCGATCTTTGTGTGTTGTGTATTTATACTGCATTTATTGGAGTTTTATAGCTTTTTTTTTATTTTCAAACATTTCTTACTATTTTTTGATCTGAAATTCGTTTCCAATGTTTCCTCGACATTTTAAAAGGCACACAACGATTTATTTTGTCTGCTGTACGATATATATGATGATTGATGGATGTATTTCGCAGTATTGTAAAATACTTTAAAAAAATATATATAAAATTATCTATATATTCGTTTAGAAATATATTTATTTTAAATGTTCTAATTTCTTTTATTCATTCAAAATTTTGATTTTGTATTGAAATTTTATTTATTATTTTCATTGAAATTTTAATTATCCAAAATTGTTCGTAGAAGAATTTATATTTTTAATGCATTTGTTGATTTATTTAAATTTCTCTTTTTATAAAATAACATTTGCAGCATTCTGTAGGATCAAAGTAAAAAATTTTTTTATATATCGTAGCAAACCTCTCTGCGATATAAATGTAGAAAAGTTGATTAAAAAATAAAAAGCTACAGAATTTGTCAATGGTGTAAAATTCTGTATTTCATTGAATCAATCATTCGTATGCTTTTTCGCAAAAAATTTGCTGTTAATTCAATAGCATATATATATTTTCCATGGTAGATTTTTTTTTCTACTTTTGTGTGTATATATTTTTGAAAAAAAAAGCTCTCGAGACTTTTTTATCAAAACAATTTTTTTTTATTAAGAATATATATTCAAATTATTTACTGATTTATTTGATCAAAATTTTCGAATGTTTTATTGATCAAACACTGAAGCTTTTGTTCTAGGGATTATCATTAAAACGAAATTTGTATCATTTTTTTTCCAAAGTTTAGTAAAATTTAAAAATTTAGTTCGAATTTATTTCTTATGAATTTTATCAATAATTCTTTGATCAAAATTTTCGAACGGTTCATTGATTTTTATTGATCAAACACTGTTCTAGGGATTTATATAATCATTATGACATCATTGAAACGAAATTTGTGTCCTTTTTTCAAGTTCAATTTTCCAAAATTTGGAATTTATTTTGCATTTTGTTAATTCCTGTTTTGCAAGTTCGAGTAATTTTCATCTTCTGCAATAATTTTGCAATTTCACAATTTCGAAATTCTCTTCAATTTTTTTTTCTTGTCCAAAAAGAAAAACTCTTTTATATTTATGAAACTGTTTTGTATTTTCTTCAGACCCAAAAAAAGCTGCATAGTAGTTTATATAACTCTCAATAGAACATAATTAATCCATCACAACTTTTGTATTAATTATTAACACATATCCGTTGGGTAGACACAATTTTTTTTTTTTTCACACAGTATTAAAAAAAAGGGGATCATTTTGGATATAATTCGTAAATTCCTCATTTACCTTCTTCAGTACCGGTTCCGCAATTCACCATAAGTATACCAGAACAAACACTAAACGAACAATTGAAAAAAAAATTTCAAAAATCACTTTTTTAAAATCATAAAACTCAAATTAAAAAAACACCAATGTTGCACAAAATAATAAAACACTATTTCTTTTTCAGGGTATAATATATTAATCCAAAATGTAATAATTTTTCGTTGTTTAAATTTTTCACACTAATGTGTTTATTTTTAATTGATTTTTTTTTTTGTAAAAAACTTTTTTTTTTCACAACACCTTGTCACGCGCGAAACTCAACAAAAACACGGGCCGGCGAAAAACTACAAAACTCTATACAGTACGTATATCGTCTCGCGGCACCGCGATTCAAACTGGCAGTCGTATCGTACACTCGAACTGCCTCCACCGGCAGCACACGTGTCGACAACGCCTCCAGGCGGACGTTTCAGTAACTAATTTTGTTCGGCCCGCTATTGCCCCCTTCGTGTATCCCCTTTACCCCCCGGTCCCCCTCCTCATCCCTCTGGAATCCTGGAGAATTCATGAGGCGGCCGCTTGTGGGGAGAGAAAAGGGGAAAAGAGAGAGAGAGCGAGAGCGAGAGAGGGGGGAGACGGTCGTGTGGCTCTGGAAAGCAAGACTGACGAGAATGACGAAGGTGGTTCAGGGGTTGCAAAATATGTTGTAGAAATGGGGTAGCCGATGAATGCGGTCGTTCGTGGACTAGGGATTTTATTGATTTTAACCCCAACTACCCCCTTCCCCCTTTCACCTCTACCTACTCCTACACCTCTCCCCCCTCCCTCCCTCCGATTGCCTCTTTTTCTCCATCGTGTTTCATGTTTTACGTGAGAAAGCCACGCACCCGGTTTTGTCGAACGGTTAATTATCCTTACGCTCCTTTGTAAAAAAAAAAGGTGAATTGATTATTGAATTGTTTGGAAAATTGTATTTAAAAAAAATTTTTTTAATTAGGATTTATTAATTAATTAATTTTAATAAAAAATTATGTATTTTATATTTTTTTTTTTAGAAAAGTGTGTATTTTACGTGTAATTCAAAGTAGAGTATTTTAAATAAAGCGCGGGAAAAACGTATTTACCGCGCATGCGCAAAGAAAACTAACCTTAGTTCAAGAAACAGGGACTTCCCCTAATGACACGTGTTCTCTGATTTTGCAGATTCTTCAGATAAATAATTACGTTTTTTTTTTGATTGGTAAAAATAATTTAAGTATCCGCGTTTTTTATCAGTTAAAAAATAATTCTTTTTTGTAATTTTTTTAATTATTATAAATTAATAACTTCCAATAATGCCATTTTCATATTCTGAAAAAATATTAATAAATAATTACTTATTATAATTAAATAATTATATATTATAATTAAATTATAATAATAAATAATTACTTATTATTATTTTTAAATAATCATTTCTAAAAAATAATTCATAATTAAAATAAAATATTTAAATTATTATATACATGCAAAAAATTTTTCACCTAAAACAGCGATATATTTCACTAAAACAGCACAAGTTTTCGCTATTCTAGAGAAAAATATCGCTGTTCCAGAGTAAATTATAGTTATTTTACATAAAAATTTTTTTACAATAATTTAATTTAAATATTTTATTTTTATTTCAATTATTAATTATTTTTTAGAAATAATTTTTTTCAATTCTAATTAATAGTTTTAAAATATGCATAAATTAACAAATTTTTTCGCTTCATTGGTACTTGATTTATTAATTAATTAATTTCAATAAAAAATTATGTATTTTACATTGAACTTTACATTTTCTTAGAAAAGTATGTATTTTACGTGTAATTCAAAGTAGAGTATTTCAAATAAAGCGCGGGAAAAACGTATTTACCGCGCATGCGCAAGGAAAACTAACCTTAGTTGAAGAAACAGGAACCTTCCCCTAATGACACGTGTTCTCTGATTTTGCAGATTCTTTATATAAATAATTACGTTTTTTTTTATTGGTAAAAATAATTTAAATATCCGCGTTTTTTACCAGTTAAAAAATAATTATTTTTTGAAATTTTTTTAATTATTATAAATTAATAACTTCCAATAATGCCAGTTTCATGTTCTGAAAAAATATTAATAAATAATTATTTATTATAATTAAATAAATATATATTATAATTAAATTATAATAATAAATAATTAGTTATTATTATTTTTAAATAATCATTTCTAATAAATAATTCATAATTAAAATAAAATATTTAAATTATTATATGCATGCAAAAATTTTTTTACCTAAAACAGCACTAAAACAGCACAAGTTTTCGCTATTCTAGAGAAAAATATCGCTGTTCCAGAGTAAATTATAGTTATTTCAGATAAAAAATTTTTTTACAATAATTTAATTTAAATATTTTATTTTTATTTTAATTATTAATTATTTTTTAGAAATAATTTTTTTGAATTCTAATTAATAGTTTTAAAATATGCATAAATTAACAAATTTTTCCGCTTCATTAATACTTGATCAGATAGAAACAAGTTAATTATAATACGAAATTTCAGAGAATTGCTAGTATTTTCATGGGCTATTTTCCTATACAATAGGTTCAATTTGAATGAATGCTCTGTTAAATTTCGATAATACTATCCCAACCACTACAAATGTTGTTTATGACAACAAATGTCATTATTCCATATTGTCGGAAATATTTTCTTTAAATTATTTTCTATTTTTACATTTTTTTTTTTGAAAATAGAATATATTTTATATAAATTTCTTAAATGTTTCTTTTTTAAACAAAAATTATTATATAGCTAAAGGTAATTTAAAAAAAATTTTCTTTTTACTAAAAATGCTAATGTATTTTGTTGAAAGAATGGCAAATTTATCTATATATATATATATATATACGAAATCGTATCAGGATCGAGAGAGGTGACAGAAAAGAAAAAGGTTAAAAGGATCGAAGAAAAGCAATCAGAAGTTTCATGACCAAGAATTCCCTTTGATCGCGGGGGCCAGTAGGAGTTCTTCGCATGGGAGTAGTAGTGGCACGTACTTTGTGATTCGTACGTGCTCTTAACGTTTTTAGGAATTAGAAACGACACCTTAGGTAATTTTTTACTCAAAAAAGAAAAAACTCTGCAATTTGTGTCACACGTGAAGGGAATTATCTTTTTTTTTAAAAATACTTAAAAATATTTAAAAAAAAAATAATACAATTTTCCCTCTAATTGAGGGAATATCCTTTTGAAAATTATTTATAAAAATTAGATTTACATATAGAAAAAAAATGGTTGTAAAATTTTTTTCACACTGACCCATAAAGTAGAAAATCTCTTTTTGGCTCATACCATTGACATTCAACTTTCCTGCTCACTGATCGCACATACACACTGTTCCGCAATCTTCAGAATATTGGCAAAGGTTTTTCTTCCTATATACATTGAAAGATGAAAATTTACGACTTTCATGTTCTGCTGCCTTTATATATATTTAATATTTTATGTAAAAAAAAGAAACATTTTTTATGCATTATTTCAATAATTGAAAATTATTTCCGCTTGTAATTTTTTGCCTTAATTTTCATTCCTTTGGTATTATATAGCAATCGCCTCGAGTAGAACAATTCGCTTCTTAAAATATAGAAAAAAAAGAGTTAAGCTTTGTTCCTTGAAAGTTTACAAAAGAATCCCTTTGTAAGGAATATAAACGAATTTTCGCTCTCTCTCATTGCCAAAGTGTACATATAACCCTTTCGTGCCAATAATGAAACATTTGAGCCAGACAAGAAACTTGAAGGTGCTTCTTTAAAGAAAGGAGGAGAGGGGAGCAATAAATTAACGTCAGAAATTTATAAAAAAATTTTGCGAATTGCAAATTATTGAGGAATATTCATTTTTTGGAAATATTAAAATATTTTTGTTTTCTAATTAAGTTGTCCTGTATATATGCGGACTATAGGAAAATGTGTTTATATTAAAGGCGAGACCTCTCGTGCGCGACAGCACAATTACAATAAAGTGCCCCCGCCATATCTCGCGTGCTACTTGTATTATATATCATATATATATATATATATATATAGTAACGTAACGCGACATGCACGAATAGCGTGCGAACATTTCTGCCCTAAGCGGTGTACATTCGTTGCGTATACATCTCAAGTAAGATTTAAATTAAATCCAGCTAATGTAACCAAGTGCGCGCGGAGTATATTAGATCTCTTTGTCTAGGAGAGTTCAAGCCCCTAAGATACAGGGTGTCTGCGGTTTAAATTCCCCTCCAAAAACCACTATACGATTCGCTGATCCGAAAAGATGAGAGAACATTTTAATAATTTAATTTTAATAAAAATCATTTTAATAATAAAGAGAAAATTTAGAAATGGACTGAATTTTTAAGAAATATTTATTTTATTTATTTAGATAAAAAAATATTGCAAAGAAAACTAGAGAGATTTGATTAAATACTCCGGGGTTAGGCCCGTCGAGTAAGAGTGGGGAGATGCGAAAGAGAAGGAAAGAAGCGTTACCTCTCTCACTTTCTCTCGTATCCCCACTCTTACTTGGCTCCGCCCACAAGTATAACCAAGCGGGAAAAGTTAAAAGGCAGCAATTATTAATGTAAATTAATCAATAAACAGAAAAAATTAAGAAACAACAATTATTAATTAATTAAAATAAACAATTTATGACTATTAATTATTAATAATTAATAATTATTAACAATTTATATTATTAAGTAGCAAATTTATAATGATTAATAATTAATAATTATTATTGAAAAGTAATATTTTTTTATTATTATTATAAATTCTTACAAATTCTGCTATTTTTTTTTTTTTATTTAATCTACTTTATATACGAAAGTAAAATACACTTTTTTTCATTTTCTTTGATACTGTGTTTTTTTCTTTTATTTTTATTTTTTTTATTAATAAATTCCATATGAATTCTATCGACGGGGTAAATTTTATTTGTTTCAATTTCCACATGAGAAGCAATTTATTATACAAAAAGCAATATTAATCCCGTGTCCTTGTGTGTATATCAATAAGCTTGTCAGAACAGCTTTATATCTATTTGAGTGCTTTTCATTATTGTTAAAGGACTACACGTACATGTTAAAAGGATTAAAATATATATTTTATTGTGACCCCAAAATACTTATTGATCAATTTTATTCTCTATTGTTTCATTAATTTCCCTAATTTACAAATATAAAAAAATGATATTCTGACAAATTTCAAAAAATTAATAATTTTTTTTACAAACTAATAAAATTCCTGAGAAATAATATATAGGAGATTATAGTGGTGCACTTTTTGTTTTGTTATATGGAGGTTGATGAAAAATGTATAAAAGTTTTTGATGAAAAACTTTTCATCATCAGAAATCGAAGTACATAGATGTAAGTAATCATATATATAT